TTATTTATAATGAAGTAGTCTGTATCTAGTAGATTGTGAAAGAATGATTATCAGTTCCACACACAGAGATATATAAATACATTTAAATGAGGGAAAAAAAACGTCACTGGTATCGGCCAATACCGAACCCTAGGTATCGGAATCGGTATCGGAGGCGAAAAAGGCGGATCGGAGCATCCCTAGTTAAGTCACCATTAAAACACTCGGTCGGAGGGCTACATCAAATCAGCAGCGTTAGCCAGTGAAAGACTGTCAAAATCTATAGAATGAAAGGCTTTAAACGGACAAGCAAACAGATGTCGGTGGAGTTTACAGAGACGTCTATTCACAGGGGTCAGAGGTCGTGGAGCGTGTCACCATGATTTAATCAACAGGACATCACTGAGGCATTTAAACTAAATGAGAAATGTTCTCCCAGAGAGCACTAGATAAAGGTCAGACATAGTTTCATAAAGGGCGTTGCAGTTCCATGTAAAAATTTAGTGAGATCTGGAAATGTTTTGGAAAGGAAAATTAAATCAAAGATCTGATAAACTGTTCTAGCACCTCACATCTTCATTCTATCACATGTAGTTTAACAGAAGCAGATTCTCTTAACAGCAGGGCTCTAGACTGTGACTAAATGGTCGCATTTTGCAACCCCTTTCTCTACCAGACTAAATTGTTAGACATCACACATGTGCCACTATGGCAGGGTGGTATGATGGTATATATTATATCATTACTGCGGTAAAAAATATGAACTGTAACAGATTTTTTTATTCTGTGTATTAGAGCCCGACCGATATGGGTTTTTGAGGGCCGATACCGATATCAGGAAGTAAAAAAAGGGCCGATACCGATATATCGGCTGATATTCTTTATGTGTAGCCTATATTATAGTACAGTACCAGTCAAAAGTTTGGACACTTTTCCATTCGTGTGTCTAAACTTTTGACTGGTACTATATATAGAATGCAGTAAACAGAATATATCCACACATAAACACATTTTTTGCAATGATCACTCAAATGTGGTACTGATGTGACAAAGATATGTAATGGAGGCACGGTATTTAACAATTTAACTTAACTAAAAATAAACTTTATTATCCAAAATGAGTCTGACTTCAGTGCACTGAACAGTAAAGTTTAAGTTTATTCAACTTTATTTCAATTAAATTCCATTCAACTTTATTCCATTGAAGTTTATTTCACTTCGGAACATTTATATGGATTTGCACTACGCCACGGTCTTCACACGCAGATGAAACTTACTGTGTGAAGTGTGACATTATATACCTCTGTAAATAAATACAATTTAAATTCACGTCCCGTGCACTTCAATGCCCTTTGAATGTAACATATATGTTCCCTTCAAACTGGAATCATTCAAAGGGCACTTACGGTCAAATAGAACAAACCTCTGAAGTGATAACAGAAACATACAAAATGTGCAGAGCGGGGGGTCGTGAGGACCAGGATTAAGAACCGCTGCTTAATAGCATTGCGTCTCACCAACTAGGTGACAACGTAGCGCTAAGTCACCATTCAACAGACTCAAGCCACCACCGCACAAATTAGTTATCAATTTACCGTTAAGACAATGCTTGTCTCAGAGTCATAAAGACACCGCTTGAATGCTGCTGCCTGAACAAGAAACCTCCTTACTGAAGTGAAAGGGTTGGCTGGTGTCACTATCTTGCGAACGTGCCGGCAGATCTCCACCAAATTCGGGGGATCCCTTCAGCTCGAGAAGCTCTCTCGAATGCCGCCCTCCGCACATCAGTAGCCCCCCGCGATTGCCAGATCGGTAAGTGCAGCACCCGGACAGTTTAGAGGAGCGCACAAGCTCACAACGGAGGAAACATTATGAATTCAGCTTACCTGACTACAACAGTTCATATATCAATGTCATAACGAACAGAAATAGCCTTAAATAATGTACAGTTATCGGCATCTTTCCGCCTCTTATGTGTACAGTTAATATTTACACACGAGAATTGCATTCAACGTAGACACACAAGCGGTTGCCGTAGTAAACAACCTGCTTGTTAAAGCGAATTTCCATAATCCTGTATCTGAGGCAAAATTACTACATATTGAGAATGCAACAACGATCTGACACTGATCGGAACCAACTGACAATAAGCTTCTGCGATTCGACTCGTCTCTCATCTTGACACTCAAATTAACCGATCACATTTTAATAACGCAGAAGATGCAGTGAGAGCAGTGTGTCAGTCATCAGCAGGCTGGAGTCAAATAATGACGCGGTTATAAAGTGTGTATAATTTACACTACTCAGTCAGAACTAACAGTAGCAGCTGTCTGCATACTGCTGCTCTCCTTCTAGTCACTACTGAACTCTTCCCTCTCTCGATTAAAACTCCAGGTGAAGGGTTGCCAGTTTTTACAAAAAGAGCAAACCAAGCCCCTTAAAAACGCAGTATAATAAGCAGATACCAGGGAACAAATTTAAACAATATAACTAGTATTAATAGTGTCCTACAAAATTAAAAGGAAGCGAATGTAATTTTTTATGAATAGAATATTTCAATCTCAAATATTTAGATATTATAACCTGATAGAAGTAAAACAATAACATGAAATTTTAAAATAATTCAGAAACACCTTATTTAAAGTTTAAGTTTAATTGCGCCTGCAATTTGCATTTAATATTGATCAGTTGGGGGAAGTTCATCTAAAAGTTGAGTAGTCAGAACTAACAGTAGCAGCTGTCTGCATACTGCTGCTCTCCTTCTAGTCACTACTGAACTCTTCCCTCTCTCGATTAAAACTCCAGGTGAAGGGTTGCCAGTTTTTACAAAAAGAGCAAACCAAGCCCCTTAAAAACGCAGTATAATAAGCAGATACCAGGGAACAAATTTAAACAATATAACTAGTATTAATAGTGTCCTACAAAATTAAAAGGAAGCGAATGTAATTTTTTATGAATAGAATATTTCAATATCAAATATTTAGATATTATAACCTGATAGAAGTAAAACAATAACATGAAATTTTAAAATAATTCAGAAACACCTTATTTAAAGTTTAAGTTTAATTGCGCCTGCAATTTGCATTTAATATTGATCAGTTGGGGGAAGTTCATCTAAAAGTTGAGTGTTTTTACTAAATAAATAATTTACCCAAAAAAAAAAAAAGAAAAGAAAAATAAAACGAGGTGAATTACTTTTCGTTTCTAACGTATGAGTTTATTTATTATATAAAGCTCTTTTTGTCAATTTTCATAATAACTACATATATAAATAACTTTATCGTGAAATATATATACAGGTATATCATTACTGTTAAATAAAATTAGTCATACCGTGAATCAGAATTTTGGTCATACCACCCCTACCCCTATTTGCCACTACCTATTTGACTAAACGATAACACTTCTGTTTCGGTTGCATAATTTATTGCCATTATATGGCAAATGGGAGCGAAACGGCACCACTCGTTTAAAATGCACCACTCGGACAAACATCAGCTTGGCCCAAACGACAGCACAGTGCGACCTTACAACAAATGCGTTTACTTGTGTCTCGATCACGTGACCATAATTAAACAGCGCTGTGAGATCCAGTATTAAGTAGGGCTTGGCGATATGGCCAAAATCAGTCAATATCGATAATTATCACAATAAATTTCAAATCTTTATTTCTTTCAAGTTTAAAGGAAGATTTTTTTTGCTCCTAAGTGAAATATATAGAAACCAGACCAGTAATTGTGGTTTTAAACTACTCTTTATGGTCAGAACATGACAAACACTAAACGTTTTTGAATTCTTTATTATTTTCTAGTCACTTGTCCTTAACATAATGAATATATTAATAGAAAAAAAATATTTCTTAGTTTCTGCATGTTCTAATGAGTGATATTTTTCCAATCATGAAACAGCTTAGTGTTGCCTTTGATGACACGTATCTTCAGTACAGTTTGCAGCGCAGGCTGCAATTTTATTTAGAAATGCACATTTGTGACCTGTGCTGGCAAAATGAGTCGGAATGAGCACATTTTCAAAAATGAGTTCTCTTCATTTTCAAAATAGAAAAAATTAGTTATCTACGTTAATAAAGATTCACACAAACATAATCTGTTATGTTTTACATGAACGTTTAGTTAAAGGTTGGGGAAAAAATCCTCTGTGATTTGAACTAGTTTAAAGCCAGATGAATCAGCGCTGACATTCTCAACAAACTGATGCGAGAAACACTGTGCCACAACGGTCCAGTTAGAAGGCTTTTTTAATTCAGAAATCACCACAAATCATGGTATTGTGGCAGAAATGTGGGATATTCTTATCAAATTATTAATGCAGACTTGCATAAAATGCATTAAAGGAGTAATGGAATTTAATTACAGTATTTTTTGTTAATAAGCTACAGCAGGTTGTGTGTAGTTGCGTTTATACTAAATGTATTTCAGCTATTGTTTTTCACATAAAGCATATAGTTTATAGAACTTCTTTCTATGGCAGTGAGGTGCCATGCACGGTTTTACCAGTAGTTATGATCTACAAATGTATGATACTATGGAAGTCCACATTTTTTAATTTTTTACCCTATAAAATGAGTTTTTAACAGTTTTTAACAGTTCAATCTACTGCTACTGTCAACTCAAGCTACAGTCAAATGTGCAACTCAAAGAGACGAAACACCTAATATTATTAATTACTGTTAATAATTATTAATTATTTTGGCGCTATCAAATCAAGTGTATATGTAATGCTTGGTGGCACCAGTGCCACTGCTCTCAAATGTTAGTCTGGAGCCCTGTAATAGCATTATTAAGGTCACAAAGTGATATTTGTGTTAGTATTATATCAGCAATATAAGAGCAGAATTCAGCACCTCAAAAGCCCACTTTCAAAAGAACTCTTCTGCTTTACTTTTTAACAACAGTGGAAACAAAGTGGTTTTAACATGTGGACACTTGAACTGTAACAGACTTGACAAAGTCCTGAATGTCCCTTTAATTCTATAACTTGATGTTCACACAAAACACACTCACCGTGTTGGCCATCATACTGACGATGATGAGCTCTTTCTGGTCAGATCCCCTCACGCTCAGAGCTGCACGGCCCCTGTAGACACACACACACACACACACACACACACACAAAGGTGATCAGGTATGTGTGCACTAGGGCTGCAAGATATATCGAAAATATTGAAATATCGCAATATGCATATCGCAACGGCGTGCAATATCATGATCATTTTAATAATAGGCTACTTAAATCAAAACATTGCAAAAGGTCAAAGTTTTAGTTCGACGCATATAGCGGAGAATTGCTTGACGTTAAAAAGAGTTATTAAGTGCAATAATTTGCAGAAAACAACTCTTTGCAGTCTCATCTTGCTGTCTGACTCACACCTGAAGCGCGCACACACACAGTGTGAATATGTCACTAATGTTAACAAAACGGCTATAACAAAGATGAATCTAAATTGAATTCATACAGTGAACACTACGCAGTGTTATTTTACACGTAATTATTAAATTTCTGTACCTGAATACTACCGTTCATTTTAGCTATGCTTGTAAATTGTGTATTTCTTTTTTTTTTCACTGACTGTCCACCTGCCTTTAATCATGTTTGAACTTTCTCAGACTATAGTTTTTGCTGTGGTATATGAAGAAGAACTTAAAGTGTGTGGAAAGCAAAGTTACAATGATATAAAAGTAGTGTCATTAATTTTTTTTGTTTGCATGTTCACACTGATGTTAAATAAAATTTTCTGATTTGTGACATTACTTTTTAAGTAATGCTAAAACACTGCTGGTCACTTTCAGAAGTTGTAGTGATTCTTTATTTTCCAAGAAAGAATGCAAAACAAATTGGTTACATAATTTTCAGTTTTAAATATTTTAAATGATCATTTAAATTGATTTAACACACTTTAAGCAATATCGTATCGCATATCGAATATCGCATATTTTAACAAGGTATCGCATATCGCATTTTTCTTCAACATCGCACAGCCCTAGTGTGCACTGTGGCAAACACACACATTCAGCCTGTCCTCGTCAAGTCAAGTCACCTTTATTTATATAGCGCTTTTAACAATACAGATTGTGTATCGTGGCCATGATGAAGACTGTTAGAGGAGAGGCGAGCTCTGGATGATGATGGAGATGCACTGATGAGCAGAGATGACAAAGACTCAGTGAGAGGAGGAGACAGGGAGGATGGAGGAGGATTCACACAGCATGGAACCTCCAAACTTTCTCCCCCACAGGAAAGTGTGTGTGTGTGTGTGTGTGTGTGTGAGTGTGTGGGGTGTGTTCGATATAGTAAAATAGGTGTTGAAGGTGTTGTATGAATGAAATCTGGATGTACTACATCCACCACGTTGACTTTGTCATGTGACGTCAATTGCATCACTTCACTGCCATGCACAACTCCTCTCCTGTGGCCTCATGGGACAGTAAAGTGTCCATCAGATGCACTACTTCGGTGGAAGTAGTAGGACATACAGGTACATTTTATTTTTTACTATGAATTCTACTTATTTACATACTTGCATACTGTTTGCCTACTGGAGTCTACGAAAGCAAGTTTGTCTGGAGATGTATAGGTCTCTATGAAATTAGTTAAATTTTTTCCCAAATTCCATTTTTCTTGACTCAGGTTTTTTAATTCATTTTAAGTAATTAATTATTTTTAATTCTTTCTGGATTCAATTTCAATGGTTTAATTAAATGTAAATAACATATCTAATCAACTGAACTTTAATTTAATATTTAAAACTAATTCTTACAATAATAAGGCCATATACACATTTATTTAGGCATAAAACATTAACAATTTAATTATTTTTAAAATATAATCAAATTCAAATTTAACCATTACATTTATTTTTGTCAAACAAAGTGCTGCACAATAGAGGTTTACTCCTAAAATCAAAACATGGAAGAAAAATCGTCATTCCCTAAAAATTAAGTTTTAATAATTGTCTTATTATTATTATTACTTTGAGAAGTAATTTCTATTGTACAATAGCAATATATTTCTATAATAATTTCTTCAAGATAAAAGGAATTTTTAATTTTGCGAGTTCTTGTGAAGACCTTTGAGTTTCTGTCTATACACATTTATTTAGGCATAAAACATTAACAATTTAATTATTTTTAAAATATAATCAAATTCAAATTTAACCATTACATTTATTTTTGTCAAACAAAGTGCTGCACAATAGAGGTTTACTCCTAAAATCAAAACATGGAAGAAAAATCGTCATTCCCTAAAAATTAAGTTTTAATAATTGTCTTATTATTATTATTATTACTTTGAGAAGTAATTTCTATTGTACAATAGCAATATATTTCTATAATAATTTCTTCAAGATAAAAGGAATTTTTAATTTGGCGAGTTCTTGTGAAGACCTTTGAGTTTCTGTGTGTATCTGACAATAATTTTATCAAATGAAATCGTGAAATGCCAGTGAAGTGACTCTCTAAAATAAGTGTAGTCCCGCTCATTCAGACAGAGACACACCTCAGTACTCAAGAGGGTCCATCAAATGGATGCGTTATTATTTGATCAGCTGGCTATAAGCATGTTGATAATTTAACTTCAGGAAGGTTCAAACTACTTCACTCCATCAATACAGATGCTGCATCTATTACATCCATCATATTTTCTCACTAACACATCCCCTTAAAAACTCGGTGCTTAAAGAAAGTTCGGAGTTTCCCAGTCGTAATTACAACATTGTGGTAGCATTAATGTGCATTCAACAACTTGAATGCAGCAATACTTGCACGGAGTATGCTTGTGTAGTCTTATTGCAAAGTTACACCAACATATACTGGAAGCATGACATTCAAGTTTTTATATGCACCACAAGAAACTTTATACACTACAGATTTCTTGTGTGTAGATGAACGCAACGCAGTTGCCAAAGTAAACCTCTTCAACACTAGTCACTAATTTTGACCCTACATAGACATTGCATAATATATGACTTGCATAACTGTGACAAATGTTTATGTAAACACATTGGCAAAAGTAAACCAATGTATGCAAGTGTGCAAAGGTCACACCACAAATTGTAGGTCAACCACTGTGAAGGCACTTTGATGTTTTGTTATCATGCTACATGCACTCACTGGTCACCTTTAAGCAAATCAAGTGGTTTCCGTCCATACCCGTGCACACAACAATAAATATATCTCATGCATGGCTCCATGAAGCTCCTTTAAGCCTTGGGTTCAATAAGTATGCTAATGCCTACGCTTATATGATCGGTGTGTGTCTTTGTGGCCGGGCTGGGAGAGGCGTAGAGCAGACAGCTGGTAAGCCTGGCTGTGGTGGAGGGGGTGAGGCAGAATGGACCGTGCAGATCAATAGACGGGGGGATCTAGCCCTGCCGCTCACCGCCCCAGTCCCACAATACCCCCCTACAGCCCCCTGCCTGAGCCACACATAAAGGCTTTTTGTCCCACGGGGTAGCAGCCCGACACAGGAACCAGAGAGAAGCTTCAAAGTGGCTGGAGGTCTCTCCTTCTATTTTCTCTCTCCTTTTCTGTGTCATTTGCCCTCCCCCAATCTCTATTTCTCTTTTCCTGGGTGAGGGAGAGGCCACCCAGTAAATGTAAGGGAACTTGGGTCACCGTGGCTCCGCACATTGCTCTGGTGACATGACACTAAAGAGACAACTTGTTGCTGAGTAAGAGTAGATGGGAGTGGAGCGGGACAACACAGCAAGCGCATAATGACAAAAGATTTCACTTACGCACTGTAAATCAAGTCTGTTGTCGTGCTTTTTTTACCCGTTTGTGGGACGGTCCTTTAAAAAGCCTCTTGAGATCTCAGGCAACTTATTGAGGATCTTCCTCAATGGGCTTAACTGACAACAAATGGTTTGTTCGTCTAATTAGTGGTGCTTGCTAAGGAAACGTCACTGTTTATAATACTCATACTTGAGTTCAAATTGTTCAAATTCTTAACCCTAAGTATTAAACTTACGTACAGACAAGAACGATGCCACAAATCAAGTGGCGTGTTGAGGAGAGTTGTGCTTTTTCTTTTCCAAGCAATCCAACTTTCGACAGACTAGAGTGAAAACCCAATAAAGCCTACTCTATAATATCTGATACACACATTTCTAAACTCAACATGATCAAAAAATAATAATAATAATAACATACTCAAATTGATTTATTTTAGATTTTATATTTTCTTTTATTTTTTTTCTAAAGGTTAACTTCATAGGGTTAAGTTAACATGCTAACTGTTTGCGCTTTTTTTATTGCCTTTTTTCCTATCACATATTTTAGTAATCTTTCGAAAGTTTAAACACTCAAAATTCATCCTGTGAAAACGGTTTTGAAATCAGACATCGCATTACCATGAAAATCTCTCCTCCCCCTAGTGGGCGGTGTCAAGTGTGTCATATTACAAAATTTACTACAATATTTGATATACCAAAACGTTTTCTAATCTTGACAAAACACATATCATTGGAAAGGTTCCATATTTTTTTTGTGATATTTTGTGATAGAAGTAATATTGTGACAAACGTATAGATTTGTGAAAGGACAATTCATAAAAATTCAATGGTGGCTACTTTTGGTATAGTGCCTAAACAAAATCCCACAAGAACCTCAGTTTTTTAATATCAACTTCAAATTTGGAACATAACTTAATTAGAAATATGGCTTTGTTTTTACAAACCTTAGGTTTTTATTCCAAAGCGTTCATCAATTACAACAATTTAAGTCTGGATTGTGCATTTCTATGTTCAAAAAGGGTTTCTTAATGACAGGGGGTTTCCGGCAACTGGGCAAAGAATATTAAAGAGACTTAAGATTAAAGAGACTTAAGAGACTTAAGGCTTCTTTGACTTGGGCCAATAAACAGCCACCTAGAAAACAACGTAACTATTTACCAATAGGCCTATCTTAAAAACTACACAGATCACTTTAGCAACTGCACAGCCCTGGCAACCACCAGTACCGACTACAGTTCCTTGAAAATGTAAGTGTCAAGCTCTCAATGCACTACAATTCCCTCAAACCTATAATCAGATGTATCAGCATTTACACGTGTTTGAAAATGGCCTTGTAATTGCTTCA